GATCAAATTTATATGTTTTGCTGGTGCCATCAAGTGGCAAAATGTTGTATTGCAGAAGTCCAGCTCCATATCTACTATGTGTCTATATATACACACGGCGTCATGGTTACTGCAGTTAATTCAGTTTAATCTGAATTCCAGCTAGCAGAAAGGCTGGTATTTTTGAGTGTTACAGGTTGATAAATATGGCCAACATGTAAAACAAATTCAGAGACCCTTGTTGAAGAGAGCTAAAAAGAAGGGGCCCAATGCTGCCTTCTCAATTTCTGTTCCAGCTGCTCTCCTTGTTACGAGCTAGTCCCTTTTTACAGAATGTGTCCTTTTAGTTTTCATGTCTTACATGTGTATTTCATATCACATGTGTATATCAGCAGAGTGGAATGAATATTCAATTTGCTGTTATGTACACTAAATTCACAAGCTGAGTAGCACAGTTTAAACTTACAGATCATCATTCATACGCACATCACTTTTTTTCAGCAGGGTGACATCATAGTACTGCTCAATAGGAAGGCCTCTGTGAAAAGAGAAAATGTAAATGCAAAATGCTTATTCCCTATATTCTTCTAAATATCCGAAACAACTGATCTGGATTTGTCTAAATTCCTCAGAGAATATCAAAACTCATAGATGCTACCTGTTTAGAAATCCTCTGATGGATTCAAAATCCAAGTACTGCAGGCATAGATTTTGAGTGGTGTTGAGCACCTATGCTTGACTCTGAAGTTCTGAGAATCTGAGTATTTCCAGCTCTGAAAGCTTGGCTCTTACAGCCCCTGACCATGTACCCCAACACTCAGTAGGAGCTGTGGGATCTGGTTTCACACTGATGTATTCTGAACCCCTTGAAGAAGAAGCAAAGATACACTGTGTGTCTATCTCAAAGAGAAACAGAATTTCAGCTGTGAGAGCGTTGAATCATATATTGTATCAAGAAACTGTTCTTCCTTCTAGTTAGAGGCTTTTTAGAGGTCTAGACAGGGTTATCTAGGATACAAGTGGGCTTAAAGATGGTAAGGGACAATGACCCTAACTTACAGTTGGGTTACCAGGTAGTGCTGAAGGCCTGACTCAAGTAAAGACCAGCTGGTTATTTTAAATTTGCTAGCAGGTACACTGGGTTAGTAGGGCCAGAGCTGGGATTGGAATTTGGCTGACAAGGTGATGAATTACATTTGAGGCTGGGCCCCTTGGAGTGCCTGTTTACATTTTTTCCCAGACAGATGCAATAGTCAGCTTATCTGACTTATCAACAGAGATTTCTGGGCTAAGGCTAAGCTGAGGTCAGGAAGAGAGAAAGGAAGAGCTAGACTCAAGTTCCATTTGGGACCAAAGAGACTGTGAGTATGTGTAGGTGTGGTGTCAACAGGGCCCTGTGTCTAAGCTGAAGTGTAGGCAGAAAGCACTGGGTTGGGGTTTGATCTGGTAGGGAAGAGTGGGGTTTATGACTTGGTGTGGAAAGTGCTATTATGTGTTTTCATTTTCTGTCAGCCCTAAGCTAGTAGGCTTTTTATGTGCCAGGTGAAGTCCAAAGTCCAGAAGCCAATGAGTAGTCCAATGAGTCTAGAAGCCACAACCCATAGGTACTACTATAATCTCCACTGAAACCTCTGTGCAAAAATCAGGTTTCCTGTTCTGCCCTTGAGTCAAGGACAGGGCCTGGACAGAGCAAGGCCAGAGGAGGCAGAACTCAGAACTCAGAGGCCCTGAACTCGTCTGATCCTGGGTCATGGCAGCACAGAGGGGATGCTACACTGCTGAATGGGGTCTGACTGCATCATGATGGGTGAATGGCAGCCTTCAGTCTAAGCTGTATCGTTTAGCACCAAAAGAGCAAAGTGTGCTAAGAGTTTGAGAAGGAACCTTGAGTCAGAAAACAAACCCCAGAGCTCAACCCCTCAGCTCTTGTCTAATGAAGACAGATCACTTTCTGAAAAAGCTGTGCATCTACTTGTCATTTTTTATGCCTCTGGGATTTGTGGATGCTGAACTTTAGTGTAAATTAGGCCACTAGACACTTTTAATGTCAGGAAGGATGTCTGGGACAGCAGTCAAGAGTAAATCATTATCAACAGATGGGCAAAACAAAACAAAGGAATTATGGAAATGTGGAATTCTAAGTTTTTCAGCACAATACTCTGCAGAGATAATGTGGGTGCCAGTATATTCACACATCAGTATTTCAGGCTTTGTGAAAAAGGTGAAAATTTAAAACGCTTTTTTTCTGAAATTCTCATATTTTCTCATATGTTTCAGTCTACATTGCTCTCTAAACCGTTAAGTGTCCATTCTTGTTAAAATCCCTTTATTTCAACATTGTGACTGTGAAAAGTATTTGTTGAGCTTACCTTGGGCAAGGGAATACATCACTACCAAAATGACGATGTCCTCTCACAAGTGTGCATGGTGATCTGTGGTCTTTTGGCAATACAGGCAGAACAATTCCTCCATGCTCCCTTTCTGTTCCCCCAGAAAGCTTGCAGTGATGAAGGGATTCCCTGAACTCTTCATATCTGAAGGAAAGAACACCCCAAAATAATCCTTTTACAGAAGCAATGGTGATGGTTGCTCCAACAATAAAAATGTGGCTTTATTTTCTTGGTTCTGAGTTACTCAGTCTTATTTTGGGTGATGAACTGGCACTAGAAGTACAGTGGTGACTGGCAATTGTCAATAAAGGTTGAATCAAGTCTATTATGTTTTGATCAGTAAGAGAAAGAAAGAAGCTGATACATGCAGCATGTACATCTCACAAAACCTTAGCTTCCAGCATGTAGATTCCTACACTGTCCCATGAGTAAGCACTACAGAGTGGCATATGGACAGTGAACATATACAGGGACACAGATGGAAGCTTTAACATCTAATTCCCACTGATTTCAGAACTTGCCGTTTGTGCTTTTGAGAGTCTTACATCTCAGTCCCTAGAGAGGGGTGAGTGAAGCATTTGGATATGGTTGCAGACAGGAAACATTTGTTGCCTGTGGGGTAGCCACTGCTCTGCTACCACAACACAGGACATGGTGAATCAGGATGTGGTGAACCATACAGATATTGCAACTTCCTCCCAGCCAGCTTGAACTTCTCTACCATGTGCTCCAAAGTATGGCACGGATAAAGGTGCATGGGTACAATTTCTGATGGAGCAGGGTATATCAGCTAAAGAAGCAGAGATCTTATTAATCCTTGGGAATATTGATCATTAATTTGGAATCAGATGGGGCGAATGTTTGGATTAAATTATACCTGGGAGAAGCACCACTCTACATGTACTGGCTGGATTCAGGCTTACAGTGTTTTTCAGGTGTTTCTCCTAAGTGTGACTAGTCTTATATTGATTCAAAGGTAGAATAATAACCTCGAGTCTGCATGTTTTAAAATATAAAGAGAAATCGACGCATTATTATGTGGCTGTATTTCAACAAGCTTTACAATCCTGACTTTTGTTGTGAGTTTTGACTTTTAAGAAGGAAAAAAGAAATAGCTACAAAAACAAGCAAACAAACAAACTTGTCCAAGTGCATTTAGATCCCAACATTTTCCTGGCAGAATCCTGTGTATTGAAACAGATCTGAGGTAACTGTAGGGGAAAGATGGTAACATATGAGATATGGACACTGCTGCTGTTGTGTGGTGATTTGTTCTCTGTAATCTGGCAGAGCAGTGCCATCCTGTCATTTGGTTTCATCCTTGGATGTTAGCACCATGCTGCTGCCACCCAGTGCTGCTCCTTTGTGCCAGGGAAGGTTCAGGTTGGACATCAGGAAAAAGTCCTTCTCAGAAAGAGTGGTGATGCATTGGAATAGGCTGCCCAAGGAGGTGGTGGAGTCACTGTCCCTGGAGGTGTTTGAGAACAGTACAGATGTGGCACTGAGGAACATGGTCAGTGGGCATGGTGGGGATGGGTTGGTGTTTGGATTAGATGACTTTAGCGGTCTTTTCCAACCTTAATGATTCTGTGATTCTATGATTCTGCCATTATGCACGGGACAATGCATTTGTGTTGTAGTATGAACCAAAATAAAAAGCTGATGTTCTGAGGATTATCAGAAAGCTTAAATTTCTGAAGGAACTTCAGCATCCATTTCTTACATTGTTCCTAAACCTTCCTTTTCACTTCCTCGGAGTAGTCAGGCAGACGCTGTCCCATCTGCATGGCTGTGGTATTTGTATTCATTAAACCACTCTCATTGGAAACACTAATAAATCATCCCTGTTGGCTGCTATCTCTAGGTTGCTAATTAGCATAACAGCCATTTTATGTAAGCAGTAGGATGAAGCACTGCGCATACAGATCCCCGAGTCTGATGCTCATTCAGCCCAAACAAGGCTCTGTTAAGCTTAAAATGTCTCCAAGTCTCATTCTCATAAAGAAATATTTATAGTTGATATTGATCCAGTGATATTAAAGATTTTGAGGACATAGAGAAACAGTGTTTCTGCCCAGAAAATATCAATTGGAACTTCAGATGGATTGACTTTTATAGAAGATACTGTGAACAAAGTACTGCTCATTCAGCATCTCAGCAATATATCCAATGACTTAATACAGGTTTTCTGTTTCTGAAATCCATGATTCTAGATGTATTCTGAATGCTGCCAGACAACTTACAGCTTTCTAGCTCTTTTGTTCTGGCAGAAGAAAGAAAAAGAAGTTAATGTTCTGGTATCAAAATATCTGTTTGCAGGCACCTTTTTATTTTAGAAAGGTTGCATTTTTGCCTTCAAATTTCTTGTTGTTGTATGAAGCACAAACCAAAGTGTATGAATAAAGTGTTGCGAGCCTGTAAAGCCAGTAACTGATTTGATCAGCACATGAAGCCAACACAACTGAAAGTGTGTTGCCAACAGCTTCCAGATCTGTGGAAAGTATTTTCTTAGAGCAATAGAATTGGACTCAATTCTGTGTGAGCTTACATAGGATCCATTGGCACAGGCCTTTTAATTTGCATCAGGAGTGCACTTCTGACATGATTCTTGTGATGGTCTCTATTTTGCAGTGCCTTGGCTTGGAGACATGAAGTGGGTTCATTCTGGATGAAATTAACTGGAAGATGTGCTACAGGAATGCAGCAGGAGTATAATGCAGAGCTCAGTCCCTGGAATTGTACTAGAGGTAATCTAAACTAAACAGCACCTGAAATTCAATTTTCTCAGAGCATAAAAAATAGTAGAAGTCAGCAGCAATAGTAAAACAGAACTCTGTATGTTACATGAAAACTCAGAACTAAATATTCTAACAACAAAGATAAAATCTCGTGTCAAAGAACACTGACTTGAATCTAACCCTTGAATTTGTTGCCTATCTAAAAAAATAGAAATGCAGATCCCAGAATAATTTTGGCATTAGTACTGAGCACCATGAAGATCCAGATTGCCAGAAATTTAAAAGCTCTGGGCATTCTGCCACATGCTGACCCCCAGCTAACAGTTTAACTAGCCCATAAAATAATATAATAATGCAGTGGTTCCAAAAACTTTCTTATTACATGTTAATAACTACCAAAGCAAACTGCAGGCTTCCTGTCGTTAAATGTTTATCTTAAAGTTTATCTCAGTAATTCTAGGTCAATCTGTAATCTAGAAAAAAAGTTCAAAATAGGACTAGATCAAAGAAGAATACGATAAACGTTGGTGATCCATTTGTGAAATACGCTCCTTATGTATTTTTTTTTCCCAAATTGGAAATACAATATACATGTCATTTTTATTCTTCATGAAAATTATTTCAAGAGATATTTGAGCCTTAAAACCACAACATAATATATTTTCAGTTATAATCACGTTTCCCAGAGAACTGACAGACCATAGCATTAGGCTATAATGGAAAGAAAAGAATATGCCAGAAAAATACAACCCTTAGAAAAATACTTTTTAGTAACAGCAATTGGGTATCAAATACTTCTAATGGAATCATTTTTCTGTGTGAATTTTGTTCTTACCTGTCTTGCAAGACAGTTGGAGGTGAAGGAATTTGAAGTGGAGTCAGTACCTCATTGGACTGAAAGGTTCTCGATAAGATTGTTTTCCCTCCTGTTTCTCTGTGGTAGCGGAGCAGGTCATGCAACATCATCATTTTTCATATCTGATGTTCTAGGGGAGGATAGAGGGATAAAGTACCAAATAATCAGAGGTTTTGCCTGTGCATACAGGTGCTAAATAAGGAACATACATGAGTTCTGCATATTTTGGTTAAGTGTAGACTGGAAGTGACTGTAGCTTTTACTCCAGCTGTTGGTCATTTCCACTCGGTTATAGAACAAACCAAAACTGAGAGGCAGAATTAAAAAATGTGATGCAGTTGCTTTGTGTTATTGGTGAACAGGAGCTAGAAAACACTTTCAAGTAATGGCTGAAGGAAGTTTGGAGTTGCACTCAGGATGTCTCACTTGTGATCATTTGGATTCAGTGTAAAGTTCCAGTACCACTCTGGGAAAGGGGATACTGTTCCTTTAAAATTTCTCATAGGAATTTTTTTCCTAGTTGTCACAATTGTCATTCTACCAGTGTGCTGAGAGGAAGTACTTTAGTGCTCCTGTCACCTGTATTTCAACACTGGTGACAAAGGCACATAATCTAGTGAGCTCTGTGTGAGGAGAGGTAGGTAGTATACCAAGTCAGCATAAGCATGCTGTCAGGTTCAGACAGCATTCTGCTGTCTAGGACCTCATGCAGGTGTTTGTATCTGAACAGGCTGCCTCTGTTCAGAGCTACTCTGGTGTGCAAGAGAAAAGTATTGGGAGAAAAGTATTGAGCTTTTTACTTGTTAAAGCTCTGGTTGACAGCATTGGGAGTCTTCTGTCAAATAACATCAGCAACTTCTTAGATGAAGTGTATGAAGAAGCACTGCTGTTACCTCCTCCTCCAACAGGAGCCAGCAGAACATTCCCTTGTATCTGTGCTTTTTATGGAAGAATTCTACATTTTCCAGATTTTCTCTATGTCAAACCCAGGGCAGGTATATAATAGATTTTAGTAGAAGTTTATAGATACAAAAGGAACTTTGCTCTCCACAAGTGGTGGTAAGGCTCCTTTTGATTAATGACTAATGGCTCGTTGCATTTAGAATGTCGAGATGCCCTTGTTTTATCGCCTCACATTTTGACTTACATCTTTAACTTTCTTCTGTACTGCTTTCGGATACAGAACTTCTAATGGCAAGAGGAGTCTGAGGGTAGTATCAGGAAGAAAGAAACAGTTTATGTTCGTCTCACTGGTACATGTTTGCAATCCTGACTTTGGCAAAGGTTTGACAAGTTTGATATTTTCATTAAACTCTCTTCAGGCATGCGTCAGTGAAATGCAAAGGATTTCACCAAAACAGGAAAATAATTTGTAAATATTTGAAACATTACTATTCTAGGATGTTCAGGCATTTAGGCCAGTTGTATCACAAGAAAAAAAGCTGCTATAATATATTAAAAAAAAAAAAATGAAATGAATTGTGTTTTGTTGGCAGTTTCTAAAGCGTTGTGTGGTCTGCTGTGGTATCTACATGAGCAGTATAGGAATCTCACACAGTTGACTCAAATTCAAGTACTACTGCCTTGCAAAGAGAAAAACGTTCAGAGCTGCTGACTCACAATTGACATTACAATTAAAGAAATAGAAGCCGTATTTACCTTTCAATGTAACTACTGTGGTTCTGCTCTATGATGTAGTTCCTCTCCATCCAGCTTTCCTACTCTTTCTGGGAAATATGTTCCTGGCTGACTGAATTTCAACTGAGCTCTTTTGCTCTTTAATGTTGCGCATATGGGGAAGTGCCTCAGTTCTCATCTTCTTTGGATTGTCCCCCTCTATTCTGCTTTTGTGAAGCCCTGTCTGGAATATTGCATCCAGGCCTGGGGCCCCCAGCTAAGGAAAGATATGGAGCTGTTGCAGTGCGTCCGGAGGAGGGCTGCAAAAATGATTGGAGGGCTGGAGCACCTGCCTTATGAAGAAAGCCTGAGGGAGTTGGACTTATTCAGCCTGGAGAAGAGCAGGCTTCAGGTAGACCTCACTGTACTTGGAAGGAACTTGTAAACAGTAGGGAGACCAACATTTTACACAGTCTGATAGATAAGGGAGAATGATTTTAAGCTAAAAGAAAGGAGATTTAGATTAGGTGGTAGGGAGAAGTCTTTTAGTCAGAGGGTGGTGAGGCCCTGGCACAGCTGCCCAGAGAAACTGTGGATGCCCCATCCCTGGAGGAGTTCAAGACCAGGTTGAATGGGGCTCTGGACAGCCTGAGCTGGTGGGTGGCAGCCCAAGCATGTCTGTCTGTATTCAGAAGAAAAGCTTAGATGGAAATTACATAGAGCAAAAGCACAGGCTAAGCCTACCTTCTTGTTCGGTGTGACACAGTGTGTGTATGCTTTGTCCTGTGTTCTAGTAGTGTTTGACATCACTATGAGAGAATAGTGGGGATCTTCTGGAGTGATGCCTGCAGTAAGGCACCTGGTGATGTTAGCAGCTGGGTGCCTACAGCATGAAGGGATAGGAGATGTCACAGCACACTTGGGAGCATGGGTCTGAGATACAAGTAGCTGATGATAGGTTTTACCTCTCCTGAATGAAGTATAAGTACAGCCACAAACCAAGCCAAAATACATTTCACTAAGAAAATTTGACCATATTGGATATAATTGGGAAGGACTGAATAAAACTGTAGGGATGTTACTAAATTCTTCTAAAACTGGCTGAGCCTAAACATTTCACACGAGGCAAGCAGCATGGCATCACGTCATTTATGAGTTGTGACATATTATTTCCATTCCCAGAGACACCAATATCCTTTGTTTGTGTCTTTTGTGGGATTTTCACATCGTCTTTCAAAATAGGCACCAAAAGGAATATGGATTCTGGTTAGTTGGTTTGCTGGTTGTTTCTGCGTGCCTGTGCTTGACTGACATGGTGATAGATTTTGATCTGTTTTACTTTCTTCTGCTGACCTTTTCTTTTCTCTCAATCTGTTTTTTGTTTGAGTTGAATTACTGTCAAAATAAATGGATGTGTTTGAAGAGAGTGTTTTTGTTCTGTTTCTTTCACCAAGCAGGGTAAAATTAGCTGGAGATCCTACTTTCCATGGAAAAGTGGTGGGAAAAAAAAGTTGGAAGCAAGTCATTTGGCAAGTGATGATACATAAACAGGTTTTCTGAATACCAATTAAATGGACTGTTGTGTTATCAGCCAGTGGAGCTGGTATTGGTTTATTATGGTTTTGGAACACTGGTTTGTTTTTAACGTGGATAGCTTGGCCATCACATTAAAGGGAACTGCACATTAATGTCTTTGCTATATACAAGTGTGATAGCTCTATCAGTAATTCCCAGAGTTCACAAGTTCAATATATTCCAAAAAATAATATTTTTAATGTTTCTTTCTCATGCTTCAACTTAGTCTAGACCAGAATGTATGGAAAGGCTTGGAAGTATCTTTTCCTTCATTAATTTCATAAATTACTCAACTGTTGAAAAAACTCTATTATTTCCTTCCAAATATGTCACGTGAGATTTAGAGTTGTGGTTTTAAGATACCACAGGAATGACATTCATTATTTGTTTTTATGGAGGGTGTGCTGGGGGTAAAATATCTTAGATCATCACTTGTACCCTCTGAATCTTCACACAGAAGACATCTCCCCGCATGTAAACCTGTCACTGCCTGCTGAGAAGTTGGTTCTACCTCTGCTATATAATCATCTCCCACCTGTGTCTGCAAGTTAGTGAGTTTCTTTGGGAAACAACTGCCTGGGAGGACTAAGGTTCATAAGGCCTCTTTTTATTGCCCCTTACTGGGCTACAGGAATTGTTCTGTGCTCATGTGATGAAAGAATTAGAGAAAGATGGATGTCATAAGATCACAGAATCTTATCACAGATCACAAAATGGTTGAGGTTGGCAGGGACCTCTGCTAAGTTCTTTTGCCCAAATCCTGCTCAAGCAGTGTCACCTAGAGCAGGCTGTCCAGGACCATGTCCAGGCATTTGTATCTGCAATAAGAGAAATTCCAGAACCTGTCTAGGCAGCCTATGCCAGCACTCAGTCATACTCACAGTAAGTGTCCTGATGTTCAGAGTCTCCTGTTTTCCAGTTTGTGCCCGTTGCCTTCGGTTCTGCTACTGGGCTCCACTTG